CACCGTGTAGAATTGACCTAATTGAGTCTGTTTGGGCAGCTCAATGTCCTGGTGTGTAGGATTTTCCACATTAGAGAAGCTACGAGCAACAGCTAAGTCGTTGTCAATTGTCACATTTGGTTCGAGAATACCTTGAAAACCATGAAGTTGACTTCTTGTTTCTGATGAACATGCCACTGAGGCAGGAACAACAATCTCTGTCAGGGGGGGAACTGAGACTTGTGAGAGCAAGAACACATTACAGCAAAAAGGCAATGCATGCGAGGAAATGAGAAGGGAAACTTTCTCATTATTGAACATAAAAGTACCACAGGCCGTGTCTATTGAGGCACCATGTGTTTTGAAAAAGTCCCACCCAAGAAGGACATCCTGTTTAGAGTCTCTTACAACGTACATGTTCATACTGAATGTGTGTGACCCAAGACGTAATGTGACAGGTAACGAGCCTAAAATGTCTAATTGTTGTCCTGTCAGAGTGTGTGCCACCTGGAAATTTTTCAGTAAGGGTCGATATTTTAATGCAGGGATGCATTGACGTAAAGACTCACTAATGAGTGACAAACCAGCGCCAGTGTCAAGGAAGACACTGACTTCTTGATCCTCAATGAGTCCTTTTACGTATGGTGTCCAGATCGTAGAGTCCAAAGATGTCACTGTGTCGTCACTATGGGTCGCTGACAGTGGAACTGAAGATTGGCCCTCATCTCCAGCTACCATTCGTTTCCCGACTGCTGATGTTCGGAGAAGTGTACATGGCGTGAATGTGGTCGTTGTGGACTTGGAGAGCGATGTCTGTAATACTGCTCACTCCTCCTTCGATCTCGGTTCCCACCTGGGCTGCTGTCATCCTTTGAATAACGGCAGTAGCTGGATTGAGAAGTCACTGAGTCATCGTACGCAGCAAATCTTCTCTGAGGGCTAAAGTGGACATCTCGACTGTCATAGTGTAAAGGTTTGTCATAGCATTGCTGCTGATGATAACTCGGCCTAGGGCTCCCTTGCGATCTGTGATAGTGGTTAGTGGAACGTACAGGAGATCTTCCTCTGAAGTAGGGCTCACCAGATGCAGTGAAATGATAGCGAGAAGGTGAGAAACAACGACCATCCTTAGCTCTGTCAGGAACAGGGGATTTCTGACGATAGGCGAAGCGACGTTCAGGAGATGAGACTGAACTGGTGTGATGAGACTTGGGCTGCATCAGCATAGTAATAACAGACTGAAGCCTGTCTACTTTGAGATGGAGGTCGCTGAGCTGCGCTGCAAGCATATTGGCAGACTCTGCTGCAAGGCTGTGCACCGCAGCAGGCTGAGGAGCAGCAGATGCCGGCAGAGAAAAAGTCTCAGTGGCTGCGAAACGTGCCCTCTCACACCGACCAGCTACTTTAATGGCTTCTTCAAGTGTAGTAACACCAAACTCGTACAACTTAGTTTGCAATGCCGGTTCAAGTCCAGCTGTAAATCTCCGCAAAATTTCACCTTTTATGGCTGATCCTCCATAATCTGGAAAAGCTTGGTGAACAAGGCGGGTCAATTCAGCAGCATATACTTCCAATGGCTCATTACTCAGACGTGGTCTGGCATTCAAGTAAGTTTGAAACGTTCTTAGTAGCTGTTTTTGATCAAAAACTGCAGCCAGTTTGCTACATGTGGTGTCATAATCAGCTTTTACGTCATCTGCCAAACTATCCCAGTAACTGAATGCAGCACCCGCCAATCTTGAGGGAAGGACTTTGGCAAGCTGAGGTTTGTCCATACCTGAGGTCTCACAGCATACTTGAAAACGACGAGCCCATTGAGAAAAACTTTCGTTGCCGTCCCCAGCGAAGTCTGGGGGTAAAACAGCTCTGAAGTGCACGTGCGGGTTTGTTCCATTGTCCTCTGCCATGTTTCAAAAGAGTCAAGTCAATGGAGTGCTGTATCAGTTCAATCCAGCAAAGTCTTTTATTGATAAAGGTGGTCGAAGTCCGCCACAGGAGGGAGTAACGCGCACACGTGTCAGAAAAGTGAGCGCTGTTCACTCCTGGCAAAAAGCCAACTTCAAATAGCCGCGCTGCAAACGTCGTCTTTTACTGTTTTTTTTTTTTTTTTGTCTTTCTTTTTCCGAAATAAAATGAAAGAACCAAATAACTGAACGTGAAATTAAAACTCACACGATGGTGAAAACAAAGAAAAACCCTGCTCTAAAATTATAGATAGCCTGTCGGAATACAGTCCATGTATTCGAAATGGCACGTAAAGCAAAATACGTTTCAGTCTAAATTAATCCACCAGTACAACTGATCCAGCATATACGATGAAAGGGCAGTGATAATCATATATTGTACTCTTCCTCACCATACCAGCAACTTCTCCAAAGATGCCGAAGATATCCCACCGCTGCCACCAATAAATATGTAAGGCGTGGAGTTTTAGCTGCCCGTGGGTGGATGTAAATAAAGACGATGGACTTGAAAATACCAACAACTAATAATTTTTATTGAGCAAAGGCATAGAACTAGGGAAGAGATCAACACCGATCTCTCTGCCCGCCACTACCTACTCTGCTCTCCTCCCCCACATTATAAGCCCCTCCTTTTCAGAGGACGCAACACCAAAATAAAAGTCCTTCACAGAAACATGCAAAAATAGAATACAAGGAATTTTAAACAAACAACTTCACAATATCTTCATCGGAATGGTTACATTTTTACATTAAACTTGATTACTTTTGGCAGTTGAGTACCATTAACAATCTGAAATGATAATACATAATGCTAAAGTATTGGATTTGCTTTTGATATTTGCTTCTTTTAACTTTTAATAATTAAACCTTTCCATGTGCAGTCTGACCTGTGCCAGAGATGGGCACATTTTCAATGTGCTAAATATGAACCACAACATAAAGGAAAATATTTCTGCAAAAAAATGTATGGTCAAATAATTTTTAAGGAAAAGTGCTGAAGATTTTTGACAAATGCACTTTACTGTTACATTTTTTTCCTTCTGCCCAAGTTCTGAAAACTTGAAAATCCTGGTTTTGTTATCTGTTAACTATGATAACTTTGTTTAATATTTAAATCTCAAATTAAGTCTGTAAGCTTATTTGAGTCTGGATAATTTCAACAGTGCATTTCAAAATTGGGAAGAAAGATCATACAGTTGAGTACCATTTACATCCTTATGTTGATCATGTGTTAAAAAGATTGTGATACAGGGTTGCCAACTGTCACGCATGTGGCGTGACACTCACATTTTCAGACTCTCACACTTATACAAGAAATCTTACAGCAAATTTATATTATTCCATTATAAAACTAAAATTAGCTCCATCAAAAGCATTGGAGTAGTTTGCAAACACTGTTAGTAAACAATTAGTAAAACTGTTACATACATGTAAATGAATATGCAGACTGTCTTGAATTAAAAAAATCTCACATCAGCCAGCTGACCCAAGTTGGTGACACTGGTAATATCTTTTGGAAGATCGCACCCTTCACCTATTGAAAGACACCGGAAGCCATGGTGGCAAAAATAGCTGAGGAATATAATAATATTATTGTGATAAATTTCGCTCATAATATGCTTTTCCACATGTATCATAATATTGTCACTACTTAAAGAACTTTAATGGCCATAAACCACAGGTAGCATATTCTGATAGCCCAAATACAGATGTCTGATGGGTGTATTAAAGTGTCATAATTAATATCCAATCCGGTTAAATATCCATATCAATATTCTTCCTGTGGTTTAAGAGTTACCGAGTAGCATTTGCAGTATCTTGTTTCATAGTGAAATGTTAAGTCCTAGTTCCTGCAATTTGTAATTTGGGCAATTACAGTTTTTCTCAATTGTTTTGGAGCATTCTCAAAATGACAATTAACATTTACAAAGCAACAAGTGTAACCCCCACACCATAATGTAACTTCTGTACCTCAAAACATCATTTGTCATTGCTTCACACAAATCTCCAAATGTTTCAGTACACTGTAACTGATTTTTGTTGTTTTCATAGTAAAATTACTGTATTCTCAACAGCTCATTGCTGTATTTGGTGTGTACAGTATGTTACTGTAGATTTTCATGCTTTTTGTTGTTTTTGCAGTATTTTACTGTTTTTGACAGTTCATTGCTGTATATGTTATGTACAGCATGTTACTGTAGATTTTCAGTGGGATTTAGATTACTGTAAATCTAAGAAAATTTCTAAAAAAAAATTTCCCTTGTTACTTTCACTTCAGACGTGGTATAATTCAGTATGTTTGAATTAAGTGTCATTGTAATTGTCTTAAAATACATCTGTAATTTTTATCCTACATATCAGAGTAAAATCTACAATGGTTTTGTCACTTTATCGATTAATACAAAACAAAATGATGGAATTCAATGTAAAACGCTCCCCACGTCCTGCGCACGTGGCTATGACTCTGCAGGTAGAGTGTGGCTCATGCATAGAGTGCGCGTGAGGGGGTTACGTGGTTTTTGAAGAGCGCTCTCAGAAGACGACCGACAGCGCTTGGAAAGGCAGAAGGCAGAAAGGTATTCATAAAATTAATTTTTAAAACGGGGAAAAAAGTTTTGAAATATTTAAACTGTCATGATCCGCTCCGTTCAATCCTGATGTGTGCCACGCCCACCCCGTTACCTCGTGTGATTCCCTGATTGTTCTCACCTGTGATTCGTTCTCCGTAGCCTGTCTCTAGTACTTAGTCCGTGTCTAAGTCTGTAGTCCCCAGTTCTGTCATTGACATTGCTATCGTTGGTTCGTTGGTCTTCGTGTTGTCCAGTCCGCTTGCAATAAAGCTACGTTACCTGTCACTCTGGGTCAGCCTGCCTCCTTGCTCGCTCGCCTGCACAACCGGTCGTGACAGAATGACAGAACTCTGAAACAAGCTCAGCGCTACTGGGGAGGGTCTCCCCATGGAAGAAGAAGTGATCCATTGGACAAACCTCCTCGAACTCTGGGAGGATCCAGTGGCCCGTCGATTGATCGACAAGTGTTGGGACCTCCTGCTGGGGAGGTTTCACACCGGTGAGCAACAGCCGCTAGTTGAGGAGAGTCAGCGCTCTTCCTAGGTGCCTGCTCCCTAATGCCCACGTGGGAGGACGCCTTTATTACCAGAGATCCCCATGACGAGGAGGAGCTACCTCCTTTGGAGACTGGTGATTACCGGCCAGAGCGCTTTCCCGGAGGAGGGATCAGCGCTAGGGGTGCACCGATCGATCGGCGCACCGATCGATCGGCCTCGATCACGTTAATTTG